CAACAGCAACAGCAACAGCAACAGCAACAGCAACAGCAACAGCAACAGCAACAGGAGTGGACCTTAGATCATTATTTACCTGAACCAAAATCTAGCATACTTTTCCCATTTCCTTTCCGAAACAAGCCTGAGAACAGGATGGAATATTAAATCCTAAAAGATGTGAAAAGAAAAATTCCGTCAGTTATGAAATTTTTTAAAGAACAGGGTCGTGAAAGTTTTGTTGCAAGCTTCATGCTGCATTCCAAGAATCCAAAATTGTACTGGGATGTGATGCCAATCAGCGCGAGAAATCACAAAAATAAGGACTTTTTTTAAATTCTATAGTATAAGAAGAAGGGTTGTCTTTAATTTGAACCTTTGTCTGCACGTCATGCCAAACACATTTATTTACATACCAATTTGAAAACATTTCAAGCTTGGTAGGAATGCATACAATATGCAACAAAACTTTACCAACCTTTTTTGACATAGTTATAAAGCCTCATCATACTTGAGGTCTATAAATCAATCAAGAAGAAAGAGAGCCAAACCTTTTGTAAAGTCTGGCACTGTCGTGTGAGGTAGTAAAATGGCGACTTTGGACAGTAGATGTAATCTGGATGGCTTGGCGGACGTCCATTCTTATCCACATCGAGCAGATCCCAGCAGACTTCAATGTGTGTTGGGTGGTCTTCAAGGTCCTGCCACTCTCCAACTGTTGTATTGTGGTAATGAAGGCTGGTAGGGTAGGGCCATTTTGGGACAATCATAGCATCGAGTATGGCGAGAATGGTTTTCTAACATTCAATAAATGTCTAATGTATGAAACTATTCGTTGCAAGTGGTAGATGAATATTGATCTTTTTAGTTTACGCGCAATGTTTCGCAATGTTTTTTTCTGGATGGGAGAGCCTACGTAGCAAGCAGTTGATGTAATGTATTCATAAAAATACAATTAATCACATCTATTACAATGGATAGAACGACAACTGAGTTCTCGGTTCTCCCCAATCTAAGGACCATGTGACATTCATTCATGTTTAACGGTTGCGTATGACAAGACACAAGAGTATGGCTACTCGATCAAAGAACCTTATTATTATTAAGAGAATGACACGTGGTCAGGTCTGTACTGAGTAAACATAAAACATCGAGTGTGGTAAAAAACTTTTCATTGCCCATTGATTAAGGACTGGAAACCTGCCTCAAGGTGGATGAGCGAACGTCTTACGGAGCGCATGACAATGAATATTGCTCTTATTTTCTTATTCCCTAACCTTCCCTACCTTGCGCTGCTGTAGTTCTCTGAAGAGCTCAGCCAGATCTTCTACCATTCTCATGCGTGAGTACAATGAGACCGATAAGAATAAAATTGTGTCTTCATGTTATCGTTCGTTTCCAGCTTACCTTCATCTTGAATTGACGCACCAACTCCACGAAATCGTTCTTTGTTTTTATCGTTTTTGATGCCCTAAAGAGCTCTTGTACGCTAAAAAAGTCAAACAAGTATACTTAAACAAATACATTATCATATATTTAAATGCATTTTAACTTGACTTCTTGTAAAAGTCATTTCATATATTTTCTTAGTACCTAAACGTTTATCAAAGAAATAATACTATTTAGAGAATGACACGTGGTCTGAAATGGGAAAATTGCACCCACGCTAGTGGTCTGTTATATTCAGTTTCATATTCTTTGCGACATGACAAAGACAGACTGCGCGTGCTCTCGCTCTGCACTCACCTGTTGCGGGCTAATTGTTACCACCTGTAGCACGTAAAGCCTGACAAATTCTTTTGCGTACAGAAAAAAACGAGATTTTGTTTACGCAGGTCGTCTCTAAAAACAATGCGCATTATTCTTGGAAAGCCTATGCGCAGTTAAGTGAGGATGATAATTCTTGGGTAATTCTTGGGATAATTCTTGTTTATACCTTAAATGACTCATCTTTTTTATAAGAGAAGCAGCCACCTCATCATGACCATATTGCATGGCCGTCTCTACAGGAAGATCCCCTTGGAGATTGGCGCGCATCACCATTGAGGGGTATTCAACCGCGAGAAACTGGGTAATAGTTATGTGACCCTTAATTGCTGCTAGGTGTAGAGGAGTGTTGCCATGTTGACCACGCTT